GAAATTTTGCAGTGCATTTTGAGTGGAGACAAACTCACTTTCAGTTACGAACAAAAGCGCACATCGTTCAGTTGTCTATTTATTTTTTCCTTAATTGCTACCAAACTTTTTTTACCTCGCGACCTATAACCATGACGCTCCCAGAGACCGAAGACAGGTTTTTGTTTATCTCAGATATCTTATGGTTTTTTCTGGGGGGGGGGGGTACGAATGGCTTGATGTGCGAACAAAAAAAAAAGCTTTATTCTGTTCACTCCATAGTTTTTCTTTGGCAAGAGCACCCTCTAAGCTTGCGGCCAAGAAAGTCGTGAAGGATGTATGTTATCTCCATTCTTTTTCTTTATCGCAGACATCCTCCAACGGTCTGTGGTCGCAACATTCAGTGGACAGAGGGTGTTTGTCTATTGCGAGGGCCATGGTAGGGTTTTTGGCGGGGGTAGGCAACCTCTGGGCGTTTCTTTAGGAAATCAATATTTTGCCAAAAGGTCGGTGGGGTGGGTTCAGTTTCGGTGATGGGCAAAGACTCCGGATATCACGGTATTAACCTGTAAAACTACTTGCCTTCGAGATCAGTTATTTGTAACTTCAACAAAATGCACATGTCTCAAACACAAAAGGCAAAGTTTTTATCTGACAATAAAAGCAATTAGGCGGTCATTTGCTATTAAGTAGCCATGTGTATATAGTGAATTTTGAGTTCGAAGCGAATTCGAAGTGAATAGTGGTTTCGGCCAAATGGTTTGTCCAAGCCTTTCACTACCACGCACCGTGCCTAAACGACAATTCAGCTGAACTCATGAAGGTACTTGCCAACCTTCCACTGGTCCACTTCTGAGTTCAGATAATTTTAGTAGAGTGCAATCTACTTTTAACAATACCACATATAACAATATACCACTTATAACCATCAGTTTATAGAGTTTTTAAACTAGAAACGACCAGGTCTAGTCCAGCTACAACGATAATTGGTTAGAACGGTTGCATTTTCGGGTTTTCTCATTATCGTTATAACTGGATTGCACTGTATAGCTATATTTATGACCTTTGGCAAGTATCCAAAAAAATTGTTGCAGCTATCCTAATCAAGGGGGTTTGTAAATCTGCTTGCTATTCTAAAATATATTTTTTTTAAATTTCAAATTTGACAAAAAAAAAAAAGTGTGAATAATGAGCGTGAGTTGTCGAGACATAGCTGCCTAACTTACACTCTTACAGAATCGCAATGTAATAGCCTTGAGTTCACTTCTCACCGAACACCTCTGCATGGCGGGGAAGCAATACTTACGGAGCCCACAAGCTCTGCAGGTATTACTTCACTGCAGTGTTTAGGTGCTCGGTATAAAGCGCCCTCAACGGGGCTAACTTGCCATGATTAACACTTCGAAAAGTATGAATATCACAATTCATATCGAAGCGAATATCAAATAGCGTATTATTTGAAACTACTATTTGAAAATTCAAATATTTGCAGAACAGCATTATTCAGCAATAATGTGAAACTTCCCTTGCATCTATCGTACAAGAATTCTTAATTCAAAGCAAAGGAGGTCCCGACTCACATTTAATGGAGGTTCCCACAATCCAATGCCTTGTTTTTTCTGCCGAAAATTTATTTTCAATAATGAGATGCAGATATGGCAAAACCCTTATGATGTGTTTTTCCAAAAACTGCAACAACATAAAAACAATTCGGGAAAACGTAACAACCGACACAAATTCGGGAGCCCAGATGTGAGACGAAAATCAATGCTGACACTGCAATTTATCGTGTACCATCCCACCGTGAAGAACTACCACACTTATTCAAACATTGGTCAACTTTTTATAGTGCTCTTTAAAATTATGGTCCATCTATAATCGTACACGGGAAATGCTGACCTAGTATAAGAGTCAGCAAAATTTCTGAGCCTATTGAGTTAACTCATATTCCCCCCTACTTCGCATCAACCGTTGCTGATAGTATGCCGTTGCAAAGCAGTGAAGCCCAAAGTGCGAGCCGGTGCAAAACAGTGAAGCTTTATTCGTGTTGCCGTGTGGTGCACACGATCCAGACTCTAAGCGGAACGAAACTAGTGGTACCAGGGAAACCAAGGTTGATAAAAGCGCGAGCCAGAGAGTGAGAAAGCAAGATGATTGGGCTATTGCAAAAGCCTTAATTTTTCCAAGCCTAGTCCGAGGTCGCGTGTGCGTGGGGGACAAGTACAGGGATAAGAAGCATAGTGCAGAGTGGGAAGGAGGTAAAAAAGAGGCAGGTTTGGAGAAGAAAAAAGAAAACGGTGTCCATAGTTGAGCAGGAAGGGGGCGTCGGGTGCCCGTTTTTGGATTTAAGAACTGAAAAGGCAAAACACGACGAATGGGAAATTGGTGCACACATCCCTATGGTAGCTCAACAGGACTGGAATTTGCAAATGCAACATCCCGGAAAACGTATTAACCGAGAACATATCGACGAGGTACTGCGACATTTGGAGGCAACTGTCTTTTGAACCGCTCTGAAAGGGCGGATAAAGAGTTTGAACTCAAAGATAAAAGGAAGGCAATTTAGTTTGCAAAGAGTGAATGGACGCAGCTCGCGAGATTGCTGTTGACAAATGCACCAAAATTTCTGAATATATAAACAAATAGTAAAGCTCTTATCTTGTTTTAAAAATTTCCAGATGGTTAAACATTACTATTTCAGGACAGAAAAAATGTGCACTTCAAGTGTACTATCAGCTTAAATGAAAGGTGTCATGACACATAAAAAATAAAATATGAGACTACTACGCTGTTAGAATCCCTTACATATCATCATATATTTATTAAATACGATTTGCATATTTATAAAAAAATTTAAGTTAATCATTGAACACTTCGATCTGCCAATTCAGCAAGGCCGTCATGTTTGGAAGCGTTGCGATGTCGTCTGCCCACATATCTGCCGGTGTCCAATACAGCGTGGCAACACTGCACACAGCTCCAATAGCTTTCTTGCATGCCCTTGCAGACTTAGCATCATTAGCTTGCTTGCTCCAACGTAGCTGCCTGCTCCTGCTTCCTTTCTGCATCGTGAGCTGACGGAATATTCATCACTGCTTGCTTAGTCACGCTCATTTTCAGTTTAAAGCAGTAAAAGAAGAGAGAAAGAGGTACAATATTTTTGCATGTATTACCTGCACAAAGAATTTAATAAGCTTAAACGCAAAGTAAGGTTGCGGGTTAATAAAAAATTGTGGCATACAGTGCAACTTCATGGCAATGTGCACCAAGCTGTAGGACTGTAGTGCTCCCAGAATCCCTCTTCCCCGTTCTCTCCTAGGTACTTTTTCTCTCTTTTCAATTTTGTTCCCCACCTCCTCCTTTGGGATTGCCTTCTTTGCGTTATCTTCCAGATGTGGTTCATTGACAAAATTTCACCATCTCATTCACAATCAACTGTGACTGGTGGCAATCGTTTACGGTGTGGCAAAAGCTGAATTAATTTTGCACTTGTTATCAACTCTACATGTTGAACCACTGAAACTGTAGGTGGGCAGAGGCCCCTAGAAGGCACCATGCCTTTATCTCTGCCACCTATGCCAAAAAGAAATCCGTAAAACAAATAAAGAAAAAAAGTCATCAGCATGGCCAAAGAGATTGGAGAGATAGTGGCAGATCGGAGATACAAGGTAAATGAGTCGTGCATACACAGGTGTCAAGGACGAAAAGGCAGAGTCTTCAAACTGCAAACAGTTCCTGACGAGATGGCACGGACAAGCATAAAGAAGTACCGCATAAGCAATTGATAAGGATCGATAACTGGGCGAGTTGGTGAGAGTTCATGTTGAAAAACAGCGCAACTGTTTTCTTCTTGTGTTCTCTTCATCTCTGTGTGTCCTCGTCCCAGTCGCGCTATTTTTCAACATGACCGCATAAGCAATTGGTCGGACAAGACAAAAGACGACGCTCGCGACTATAAGGACGGCGCTTCGGTCAAAAGCAGCGATCGTGGTGAGGACCAAATATTTAACATGGGTAAAGTTATCGTTTTTGACAAAGATCCGAACATTGCTTTGCGTGGGGGAATATGCGTGGTCTCTTTTGACGCGCACAACTACGTCTTTCTCCACGCTTGGAAGGGGGTGTAAAGTAGAAAGGTCGATGTCATGAAAACTTGGTCACGGAAGTGACGTTGTACGGAGCGCTGCCTGCTGCCAAGAACCGCGCAGTGCGCACGCGCGTTTTTTATTTGCTTGTTTGCTCGCTTACACGCGAAGTGCTCCTGTCTAATTGAAACGGCGATAGACGCTGCTCTGGCAGCCGTGATTCTAGTCTTCGCTCATTGCTCTGAACAGCGGCCGAGCGGCTGAGCTCGCGTGCTCTGTGGCATGGGCAATTCACGCGACTCTCTCATGCGACTGTACACAATTCTGCACATGCGCCTCGAAGATGGCAGCGTGGGGGCTGCACATTTGCCTCTACCAGGCTCCATGCTACGGGCATTTGCTTCTTGCGCACCCAACATCATCATGATGCGGCGGGAGCCCATGGACGTTCCTTCAGCTGCAACCATATTTTTACGGAAATTTATGGAGCATATAGTCCACGTATGCACTAACTAATTTTTTTTCTTTTTTTTTCCCGCCGGTTGTGGGGTGTGGGTCACGTGCAGGGGTGGGTGTGGTCAAGGAAGTGAGCGTGGTGGGCAAAAGCAGTGTGGCAAGCATAGGTAGAGAGAGCCAAGAATAAAATAAACAAGCGGTGCATTGGTAAGGATGCTTTTATTCTGTTGCATTTTTTTGCCCCGTTACTTCAGAATAAGAAAAGGGTGCATCACGCGTTCAGCCGCTCAACCGGGGTCACCTAGGCTCAAGGCAATGCCTCCTAGAGAGCAAGGCCAATGCGCTGGACTCTCTACATCACATACCGGAGGCTCGTGTTTGGACACGCGTGCCGAGTTGGCATCTGGGAATCGCGTTTCCTGTCCGGCGGCGGGCTCAGCGCCCCCCGGGACAGGCGGGGGCTTCTCTCGGGGCGCCCACCTTTGGGATGGAGGCGGCAGAGCAGGAGTGCTGCAGGGCACCGTCCTCGTCCCCCTCGGGGGTTGCGTCGGCGGCCATCTTGCGGGCCAGGGCCTCCTGGGTCTCCCGCTCGATCTGTCGGATGTCCTCCATCGTGAGCCCCACCCACTCGTCCTGCCAGGCCCAGGCCTGCCGGTGTGCACGCAGCATCGTCTTGCGCAGTGCTGCAATGAAACGGCCCACGGGTCAAGATCGGAGATCTCGCGGAAGGCAACGTTGCGTCGAAGCCGAGGGGACTTGACCGACCCGGACAAGGGGGCCCCGTGTTGGGCACCAAGTTGCGGGGATATAAGCCGAAGCTCGTAACTAAAAGACCAGAGCTCACAACAGCTTGTGTCCCAACTCCCATTCCGCGACGTACTCGCGCATCAACCGCTGCGACGGGTGCACCCGTTTGCCGTACAACGCAGCCCTTACGGAAGAGTAAAACGTAACGGAACGTGGGCCGGGTGTTAAAGGCCTCTTAATGAGCCCCAAACATAAGGTACAACATGCCCACATTCAACACACCGACTGCCAGAGAGGAGAAAAGACTCGCCCACAGATACATTCCCGAGAGCTAGCAGGCGCAAGCGTACAGGAGGCACATACAAAGTACTATCGCCCACTCCGAGAACGACTGAGAGAGCCCGTCCCTTTCGGAGGTGACGAAAGTGCAGCGTTCAAGATGGGGCTGCCCCCCTCACCACCAACGGCGACTGTGACATGAGAGTCCAGCAGCTCACTCTGCGGCCATCTCGCTGCCCTCGAGGCAAACGGAAAAAACTGGATTTCCACTAACCGGATTGAAACACGTCAAATCAGTTCCTCCATTCAGAATTACTGTAAATACCGGGAAAGCAACCTCCCCCACTTTCACTGAATACTGGGTTAATCTAGACACGGGCACTTGTCCGGTCAAATCGGTAAAAACGAAGATAGCGGGTAATAAAGAGCTTGGAAGGTAGGATGAGCGGAATTGGAGAAAGCACGTTTAGTTTTACACGATATCCCCCTCACTGCTGCTGGCAGTCTCGTGGCAGCCGCAACGGGGTGAATATTTTTCGCTGATACAAACGCTTCGGAGGGGGTGGGTGCTTAAAAACCGGCAATCAGTTCGCACTTTCCACTTTTCTCTCCCTTTCTCCTCTCCCCCTTCTACCCTGTTTACCGTTGCCTGTTTCCTCCTCTCCCATGGTGAGCAGGATCTTCTGCCTTGCAGAATCTCGAGTCTGGTAGTCGGCCTTTAATATACAATTTGCAGAATTTCCAAGTTTGGGAACTGTTAAGATTGGGTGCTTGTACAAAGTAGGCGCTTCTGCGGTATTTTATGGTAGGCACTGACAAATGGAAAGTCAGATCTAATGTCACATCTCACGAAAAGTAAATTTCTTGGGGTTTACTTGCCAAAACAACAAACGGCATCTGGCACGCCTCGGCAAAAGACCGAGAATTCATTCGAGGACTCCCGGGGATCCACCAATGTGCAACCGCAGTGCACATCGGTACATCCCCAAAATTTCGATGCAAGACTGCTCCAAGTAGCAATGTGGAACATAACAGTGCACTAAGGATGAGAACAAGGCAACGGAACACACATAACAGCACTTGTGTGCCTTGTGCGTTCTTTTCCTTTGTCCTCGTCCTTTGTGCACTGTCATGTTCCCCACGTCTTCGTACCAACTAGCCCAGTATTGCCCTTCCAAACAGGAAACTTGTGAATTTATAAAAAAAAAAAGAATTATAAAAGACAGAAATCTGCCATCTTCTTAAATTAAGCTGCAATAGGCACTACAACGTAAATAAATATGAAACGTTTGAGTGAAGTAAAATGTATGCAGATCATGGCCAAAGTTCAGAAACAATCACCTTGAGATTCCGACGCATTCCACCATGCTATCCCCGAGACTTTCTCCTATCCAACTATAGTCGGTGACAGGTCAAGAACGAAGTGGATGCTCCTCCCACCTCTTTCCACTTTAGTAGTACGAACGCTGGAGGGGAGGTAACCTCCTCTCCTCCGTTCACTCCGCTGAAGTGGAAAGGGGTGGGAGGAGCTTCCACTTCGTTCTTGACCTGTCACCGGCTATAGTTTGTACCAAGGATTTGGAAAGAAAAGAGGACAGTGTGTTCCTTCCCACAAAAAATAGACTATGCATAGCCAAATGGTCTTTCTCAGCCCAAATGTAGTTCTAGCAAATGGAACCATATACCAAAGTTTCAGAACTTATATCATTACCTAATTCATAAGTTGAAAGCAATTTTTGAAAATTTTCAGAGAGGGTAAGGCCCCTTCATAGTAGCAGATGCCATTCACCTCCCGGTAGTCTTCGTGGGCCACTGTTGGCAATTAAAAATTCCCAGCAGTTGCCTATAACATTTTAATTGAATATTGGTACCTTAAAATATCGAGTGTACGCCCATACTTCAATAAGTGCCCCCCTTTTGCATATTAAATATCGACCAATTAATATAAAGCAGCCACTGCCTAGCACACCGAGCAAAATCGAGCAGCTCTTCCACATCAGCTGCCTCTCCCAGAGGCTGGTGCAAAGCGTCGAAGCTTTACACCTGTGCACCAGTGCATAGCGCTAAAGCACTCTGAGAGAGTAGGCATGATGAGAGTGGCGTGATGGCTCTAAAAAACCAGACCCCTGCACTGCTCCTACACCATTTCGTCAAATCAAACGAAGGCCTACCCTACTCTGTGCCCCTTCTGCTCCTAGACCTAACTAGCACTCATCTCCGTTTCTGTTGTGATTATCGCCAACTTTTCCGTGGGCTCCTGCTCAATTTTTTACGGCAAGTTCTACAAAATTAACATTTGATCCCAACTGCTGGCTCTATACACTTGGGAGGAGACTGAACATTCAGCAATGCCCAGTTTATTTATGGGGAGAGAAAAGCGTGACTCTTTTTTCTTCGAAACACTCGGTACTGTTCATATGCGGTGAAGAGATAAAAGGGAAAAATATGAAGTGGGCAACACTTAGGAAGTGGGCGTTTCTGAGGGATTTCATGCTGTCTGGTTTGAAAGGCATTTTCGTCCACCAGAGCGATCAGGCTACCACACCTATATGTTTTTCGAGCAAATCTGAAGGCCCCACCCAACAAGTTTGTTCAAATTCAACCAAAACCACCCTAATATAAATAGTGTGGCATCCCTTTGCAATACACATAAAATGTGCACATGCACGGCACTATGTCCAGACTCTAAAGGGCAAAAGCGAGGTGGCATTACCGACTTTTCACTGGAGTACTACCATATTTTCTGGTGTATAAGTCAGTTGTATACCAACATTTCTGTGAAAACGGCACAATGGTGCAACAACTGTGCACGTTATAGACCAGAAAACATGCTGCTAATATTAACATGCATAAAAGCATACATACATTAACATAAAGATTGCATAAATATGTATAACGCAAAATCCTGTAAAGGCACCCACCAAAATGAAGAGATAGATGATGAAAAACATGAGGTGGGCTACGTTTGGGGATGAGACGGCAAAATTTTATCAAAAATTAACGATAAACAAAGGGGCGCCCGCTAAAAACCACGCGACATGGGATCTGATACCGCACGTTGCGGACACGGCAAATTCACCTTTCACAACGCGATAAACACGTGGGAATTCGCTACAAATTCTTGTGTCATGGAAAAGGATAGCGCAAACTGCGGATGCAGCCGATTCGTGTTGCACGGTGCAACAAATACGCAGAAACCGGCTACAAACTTATGTACCGTGGGAATCAATGTTACACACACAGATTGCGAACACAAATGGGGAAACCCACTGCAAACTCACTTGTCACATGTACAGGAGCCACAGATCGTGCAGTTCATGTGATTCTTATCACATATCGCGTGATATCCGATGGAAATCAGGGAGTGGGCGATATTTCGTAATTTTTATGTCACGGATATTCAGCCAGAAAAACACGATGGGCAATTTCTCGGGAGGGCGTGCCCTTGTGGGATTTTACGCTATATGTTAACATGAGTTAACATACAAACAACACTGACATGCATGTGAACATATAGGCATTTCTGGCAATGACTATTTCGACGTCCATCGTCAAAATATCTCTAAATTATTTCGACATCTGTGACATCGGAAAATATGTGTCGAACAGCGATGCTGCCTGCAAGCTAGATGATATTTTTTTTTACCACCATTTTTTATCGCTGCCCGGTCCGAGCTCAGGAGCTCCAAAGTTCCAAGTTTGAGACGTCAAAATAATAGAAAAAATTTTTGACGGGGGACGTCAAAATGTTTTTGAAAATAATTTTACGTCTTTAGGCAGTGGAGTCGCAAACGTCAAAATAATATTAAAAATTCTTTTGAAATTGATCGTCGAAAAAGTCACTACCTAACATATATGCATTAACATGCATATGTCAACATACAGCTGAGGGGGCAGCCAGCACTCGGTTGTATGGGCCTCCGCCCCATTTAGCTGCCTCAGTCTTTCAATTGTATGGACGTTTTGCAAAAAAAAAAAACCACTAGCTTTGTTTGATTTACTCGCACTTCCTGCAGCAGTGCAGAAAAGTGTAGAGCTCACCCGCACCTCCTGCACCGGTGCAGGAGGTACAGGAGGTGTGGGTGAGCCCTACACTCTTTTGCACCGGTTGAGCAGGGAAATCGAACGAAGCTACCAAGGACTCACCGACGTCGTGGATGAACTTCTCGATTTTGCTCTGCATGCCCCAGTAGCGGAACTCCACGCGGCACAGTTTGTAGGCGCACATGATGGTGCCGTCGCCCGGAGGGGGCGGGGGCATTCCCTGCAGCCGGTGGTCCAGGAAGCCCTGGATCCAGTCCTCGTCCAGGGGACCCCGCCCCGTCTTGGGGGACACAAACAGCCGGGGGTCCTCCTCACGCACATAGTCTGCCCCAAACAGCTGGTCCCGCACCACGTCGATTACGTCTGCGACAAGGGAAATCACGTCTGTTGAGAGAGGTTTCGAGGAACAATCACATCTGTCGAGCACGTCTGTGTCAGGCTGGGAGACAATCACATCTGTTGGGAGAGTTTGGGAGAGACAATCACGTGTCTCGAGCACGCCTGTGACGAGGGTGAACGGGCAATCATGTTGGTCAATCACCGTGTGCGACGAAAGGGGGAACAGATATCACGTCTGACAATCACTCGTAGGTCAGGTTGAGAGAGAAAATTACGTCTCTCATTCACGTCTGGGACAAAAGGGAAGGCAAAGAGTTAGAGGAAATCACATCTGTAGATCAAGTTTGTGACAAGAGGGAACTGGAAATCATGTACACTGATCACGTCTGCGACAAGGAAGACAAGGAAATCACGTCTGTCAAACACATTTGCGACAAAGGGGAATGGAAATCACGTCTGATGATCATGTCTGTGACGAGGGGCTATGCAAGCTGCCCTCTCGCCCTTCGTTCGAGTCCCCACTCTGCTACAGTGACAGACAATGAAACGCGAGATTGCATCCTCCTAACTTCCATTCCGGTCACCCCGATGGTCGCTGCGAGGCATACCATGCAACACTGTCAGCGCGAGCAAGGCATCAGCACCTGTTTATATTTTACTTTGGAAGCATATTGGTGGGCACCGTATATGAACATTCAGGTCAGTGCCTTGAGGGGGGACACTACCCAGAAAAAACAATTTCTGCAAAAAAAACGTTAATTTTGAAAAATGTCATATTTACATCCCCCAACATCTAGAGGGTATTTCCAGAAAGTTTCATTAGATTCTACTGCATAGTTAATTTTTTATAAATTATTTTCGGTCCACCAACGCTAAAGAAAAGGTAGAGGTTGGAGCACTTTAAAAGCATTTTTCTCCATTCCACTTTCTGGCATAAATTTCACTTTAGGAAAACTATTGTTTTGTTATTACATAACTTGGATTAATCTTTATGAGTTTTTCTGGGGCGAAAATTTCAAGGGGAAGATAACTATGAGCTTGTATCTTTTATTTTTGTCAGTTTTCATGCTCAGAAACAAAAATTTTGGACAAAGGATGGAGATCTAAAACACTGTATTTGTGTTTATATGGCTCTTTTGTCATGAAAGATGGTATAACATAGAAATATAGTTCCATAGTTATTTGCTCTGAACTGTCCTAACGCAATATAACACATGAAAACGACAAATTTAAAAGTAATTTTAAAACAATAGTTTTCCTACGCAGGCACGCCCACTTTCACCTTTGAAGGTTTGCAGGTTTTTTTGTACTTCACCCAGGTTAACAAAATTTGGCAGAAATGTTCTCAACATCAACAAAGACAAGCCTTGTAAATATAATTTAAATCGGACAAGTGGTTCAAAAATTTACTTTTTTGGGTAGTGTCACCCCTTAAATAAGCACCTTCCACCACATTAATGTTGTTGACACATGACATCAGAGACCCACATACAAGAAAAAAGAGAGGACAGATGACAATGGTTTAGTCGCATAATGGCGTAGTAGCCGTGGCAGTAATTTTTCGGATGAGGCTCTAATAGTTAGTTACCTGAGTGTGTGACTTGGAGTTAATTTGAGACAACAATAAACAAAAAAAGGAAAGTTACTAACTGGTCAACTGCACTGAGCGGTCGTATTGAGTGCATCCTTTCGACTCTTAGAGAAAAAAATTTAAGCTCGCCTCGATCACTCCGATTACGATAAACCCAGGGAGCACAGAATGTGTGTCATGCATGTATTTGCGTGCGTTATGATTTGCTGTGCTCAGTTGTGAGGAACTTCAGGCGGTGTCGGATGCAAGACACAGACAACACACCCTAGCGGTCTCCGAGCTCACCCGAATGATCGAGACAAGCTTAAATTTTTTACGGAGTGCAGCGTGTCCCGAGCATGTTTTAGTTAGAAGTTTACCGTGGGTTCTGTTTCTACTGATGAGCGCGCGTAGGAACTCTAACTCTTAGCGCTCTCGGATCGCAAGGAGCCCCCTGTTGCAACTGAAGTAATGGTGCGGGAAGGAGGTTTATTGCCTCCTTTACTCTATCAATTGAGACTTGTCGGAAGTTGCGACGTCATAAGCCCGCTGTGCTGTCCCCTGGTACCTTGTGATCCACACCGTGATGTCGTGACGAGGCTACGCTTCTTTGTTCGGGAATCAGCCGCGCAGGCGTTTGGTTGTCTACAAACTAAGTGTAGCTCGCTGCAGACAGTCGCCTGTGGACCATGGTCTGTTTCGGTTAAAGTCCGACCGCAGCTGACGCCATGGTATGGTGCAGCCAATAGAGCAGTGCCAAAAGTGCATTGTCCTGGAGCCGATCGTCTATGTATGTGTACCTATCACGTACATAACCAATCACGCACAGCCAAGGCCCCACGATTCTGCAATTTTTAGAGCGCAGCTCTTAGGGGCCCGTCTCTGGCTTGAGCGGCGTCGCCGTCGGCGTAACCGCGAGGTCACGTGACCCCCGCGAGGTCACGTGACCCCCCCCCCCCCCCCCCTGAGGTCACGTGACCTCAAGGAGTCACCTATCCCTCAGTACGCTTCCATCCTCCTACTCAAGAACTGCGCTCTAATCCGGCGTTACAGGGTAAACGGCTTTCATTTTTTTTCTTGAGTGATTGATTTAGCCGGTGCTAAACCAAACACAGCGGGGCAACCAAAATTTTGAAATTTGTTTGAATTAACTATATGTATAAAATATCAAAGTTTGAATTATTGTGAGCCTACTGTAATTATGCTAGACTAAGTACAACTTAACGCCGATGGTCGTCTGTAGATTAAGCATGATGGTCCAAGTATGACTCGCTGCCAACAGTCGCCTGTGGACTTGGTGTTCTGGACTAAGTATCACTGGTCACGGAGAATCCCGTGCTACCGCAGGCAACTGTCGGCATCAAGTCATACTTTGCCCAGTTGCTTTCACCCTTGTTCAGCTCTTACTTGTAAAGCCAAGCAGAGATGTTGGACTGCAGATCGCATGGTCTGGGGTTTGATTCCCGCCGAGCTCCTTGGTTAATCTCTTTGGTCTCGGTTATTCCTTTCTAGTTATGATTATGTATGAATTATTACAACCAAATCTGCAAAAATGTTCCAGAAACCAGAACTCATCATGATGAAACAAACTACGCCGATGCCGTGCGCGCTTCTTTGTATGCTCCACGGTTCCGTGTCAACGTCGCTAGCGCTCTCTGCGCATAAGTCTAGCTCCGCTCAAGAACCGATTAGGCGACTCATCGCCACTCAACGATAGTGAATATCGGCTCCACCGGCACCTTGACAAGGAAGATAAAGGCAACCTCCTTGAAATAAAAGCGTGCCGCCATCCTCGATGAAGTGCGCATAAACGCAAAGAATGCCATCCACCACTGGCATCCTCCGCGGCGGCCGTCGCAGTTGTCGACACGGTCCGTCCGTAACTCACAGGATCTTCTTTCGATTGGAGCTTCTCGTAGTTGGTAAGCGGCTGCGATCTAGCAGAGTGCGTGTGCAGGGAAGCCTCGACCGCTTTCTGCGGGCACAATAAACATGTGCCTGTGAAGGCTCATGTTATCTTTTTGTTATTGTTACGCGTGTTACTTTTATGAAGTCCAGATATAACAAAGAAGCGGATACAGCGAAGTGATTTCAGATTCCCGTTGACTTCGTTATAACCGGTCTCAACAGTGCTACGAAGAAATGTTTAAATTCGCTGTCTCAGCCAATAAGGAGATTCAAACATTTGCGATAGGAGTTTCATGAACTGATAAAGTGTGCAGTGCTTCAAAATGTGGCGTCAATTTTCTTTTGGCGCCCACATTCAACCGATTAGCGAGCCTCTGTTACTGTAGCATTTCACCTCAACAGCTTGCCAGTTGTGAGTATCAACGTCTACAAGACATTTTTGAAATTGAGAACTAAAAAAAAAAAGGATTGGCTGTCTCTGTGACATCTGCCAAAGGTATTCTAAGATGCACGGTGTTTAGATCACCTCTGCTCCCGTCCACCCAGAACCACAGTCTACAGCACACATTACGCAGTGCACGGATTGGATTGTCTACGAACTGGCGCTTAAACTGACGGTCAAATGTTCCAGAATGGCAACCGGCTTCCTGTCACTGCTGGGCCACATCTCTTGCTCCCTCCCTCCTCACCCTGCTGCGCTTGACATTGTCGCTCCTGCATCACTTTGGGTGCAGGAATGTAGTCTGTTTTGCTGCCGCTAGGCACACACCGAGGAAAGTCCCCGCTCTAAGAAAAGTCGTCGCCTGTACGGTCTATTTAGGCACCATCCTGGACTTGGACATGAAAGCAGTAGAGCAGGCCCTATGAATGCTGTGCATTTAAAAATGTGGAAACATAAACGCATATGCGGAGTAAACTGACGAGTGTGTTGGTGGGAGTCGGATGAAAAAAATATAGACACAAGAAACAGGGGATGCCACAATGGCTGCTGCACTCAAGGCATGGCCAGTATCAAAGCTACATTTATTTTTTATATTTATTTCGATCCATTTTATATAGCGGTATTTGGTAGCGCTCGCCAGAAATGAAAGCATCGGTGAATTGGTATCAAAAATACATCTTTAGTGTATTGTGTATTTTCATAATACTCGATACTCAAAAAAAAAGAATGCTGTGCTGCAGATTTTGAAGGTGCTCAGAGTTAGACTCTGGGCCAGCGGTGCTAGCTCGGGCACAAGCACACTAAACAAAGAAATTCGTTGATTCCCTTTTTATTCTTTATCAATTGATAAAAGCCGCTTTCATCAAATACAACACGGCAACGTGTTCGTCTGCTTCTATAGAGAGACTTTTTTTATTTGCTTCGGTTATAGCATGGCCGCATCGTATGACTCTTTCGGACCGGCGGTTTGAGCAAAGGCTATTACTTAAGACCTTTAAGTAAAGGTAACATCCAAATAAAAGAGATTAGCAAGATACGTTTTGCCCAGTGTGTCGAACCGAAAAAAATACAGGTTCGGTTACGGTTCAGGTTCAGGTAAATTTA